TCCTGGGTCATACGGTATTTCTGCTTTTTACTTTCTCAGAAGCCTCCATACTGCTTTCCATAGTGGTTGCACCAATTCACAATCCCATCAGCAACATACCAGGGTTCCTTTTTCTCCACATCCTCGCCAATACTTGTTATTTCTTGTATTGTTGATATTAGCAATCTTACTGAATTGCCACTGACATAAAACTGGGAGGCTGAATTTTAAAAATGCATAATTGGATCATGAACCAGAATTCTAAGCTGATAACAACTTCCAAGGCTTTGGGAATTCCCAGGTTAACCTCAAGAACCCAGATCTTTACTCAAGCCATTAGAAGCCACATTCTCTAATCCCCTGGGTTTATAATTCTCATTCTTGGCTGTGTATCACTATTGGCTGAGTAAATTGCATCTCTCATCAATGCCAGAAAATTAGAGAAATAGCTTAAGGGAAAACTTTGCCTATTAGAGATATTACCTGTATTTTTTTTTTTATAAAGCAACTTTACTGAGGTATAACTGACATGCAATAAACTGTACCTATTTAAATATAATTTGATAAGTTTTGACATAGGCATATGTCTATAAAACCATCACTACAATCAAAATAATGAGTATCCAACACCACCAGTTTCCCTCAAATCCTTCTGTAATTCCTCCCTCCCAACCACATACTCTTACTCATTGGTAAACACTGATCTGCTTCAATTATAGATTAGTTTGCATTTTCTAGAACTTCATATAAATGGAATCATGAAATATGTACTCTGTTTTGTTTTGTCTTCTTTAACTAGGCATAATTATTTTAAGATTCATCCATGTTGTTTTGTGTATCAATAGTCCTTTCTTTTTTATTGCTGAGTAATATTACATTCTTTAGAGATACCACTGTTTTATCCATTCATCTGCTGATGGACACTTGGGTCTAGTTTGAGGCTATTGAAGTAAAACTGTTAAGAACATTCATGTACAACAAATGTGTTTTCATTTCTCTGGGTAAACACCTAAGAGTGAATGAATGGATCATAGGGTAAGTGTATGTTTTAACTTAAAAAGTTAAAGACTGTTAAATTGTTTCCCAAAATGTCATGCCATTTTATGTTCCAACTAGTAAGAGAGATCCAATTTCTCCAAAACTTAGTATGATCAATCTTTTTAATTTACATTCTGATATAGTAATACCTTATTGTGCTTATAATTTGTATTTCCCTATTGATTAATGATGTTGAACTGCAAGACAATGTGCTTGTTGTCATGAATATATCTTCTTTGTTAAAGGGTTTGTCCAAAAATTTGCCCAGCTTTTTACTGGGTGTTTACTTGCTTTCTTATAGTTGAGTTTTGAAAGTATTTTTTTAATATACTCTAAATACATTTCTCATGTATTCAGATATACAACTTGCAAATAGTTTCTCCTGGTCTGTAGCTCCTGGTCTTTTCTTTCTCTTAACAGTGTCTTTTAAAGAACAAATGTTTTAATTATGATGAAGTCCAATTGGTATTTTTTATCCATTTGGTATTTTTATGGCATGCTTTTGGAATCATATCTAACAAATTTTTGGACAACTCAAGATCAAGAAGACTTTTTCTTATGTTTTTTCTAGAAGTCATAGTTCTGGGTTTTACATTTAACACTAAGATACATTTTGAGGAGCATTTGATTATATTTCAATATACATAAAATTAAACTTACTGATGTGGTGTCACTGAAGAAAAGCCTGACAGTTGCTTAGGTGGCCAAAGTTACAATCACAGATTGTGTGATATAGGAAGATTTTGAGGATTGTTTGAAAATCCTGCCACCCAAAATGTTTTTCTTATATTTTATCTATTTTTCCTTTGTTTGAAGCAACAGGGTGAATTTAGTCCCTACTGCTGCACCTTGCCCCAAAGTGGAAATCCTCTATTCTTTATTTGTTAAAAGATAATTAGCCACAACAATTTCTATATTTATTTCTTTCCTGGAAAACTAGGAGAAAAAAATCCATAACAGTGTGATATCAGGGATGTGGAGAATATGCCATATCAGAAGGCCTGGAGAATAACTGTGGCCTAACCCACGATTTCAAAGAGTGCTAGCATGTCCAGAACAAAGAGAAAAGGTGAGAGATGAGCCTGTAGAGGTTGGAAGAGATCAGATTACTGAGGACTTTATAAATCTAATTAAATCCTAAAAAAGACTGAAATTACTGAGAGGTTGCAAGCATGATAGTTGTGATGAGATTTTTTATTTTAAAAGAATCACTTTAAGCTGCAGAGTGAAAAAGATGTTAGAATAGGTAAGATATTTCAAAACCAGCCAGGAAATGAGAACATTTTGGGCAGTGTAAGTCAGGGGTACAGGATGAGGGGCTTAAAGTTACCATAACCAAAGGCAAATAGGAATAAGAAAGCACACTCCTAACATATTAAGAGAGAGTATGTGAGGTTTAATGGTAAGTTAACGTACATAGGAAGTTTGGAAGGTCTTTAAAGGTACTCAAGGGATTTCATATTATATGAATAATTAAATATTGAATACATTGTGTGGAGGAATGTCAGAGAAGTTCTTCAGGTTAAATAATGAGGTCAATGGATTTAACAAGATGAAGATGAGTTTCAAAGACATTTGGAGATAACTGCAATATTGAACCAAAGCAATACAAAATTGGAGTAGATCTGTGAAAATGAGAGTTGAAATCTGAACAGAAATCTCTTTATCTAGATTAATAGCCATATAGTAATTAATAGTCAAATAAAACTGGTTATCATTATCAATGAAGGCAAAATATTAATAGACTGATGCACATACAATTTCCCTTCCTTTTATGGAAAATATTCTTAGGAAATTGAGCTCTGTGATGAAGAAAATATACAGTGCACTATAACTTGAAATTTAGTTTTGACTATTCGATTCAAAAATTGCATTATAACAACAACTGATATTTCCCCCAGTCTAAATTATCCTTACTATTTTCAAAACCAAAAAGGATATCACATCAATGAAACAAATGCTCATCTTCAATGGAATTAGCATCATCATAGACTTAAAATTCATAAATGACAAGTCAGTAAATGCATGGGTAGATATACACATTCCTTAGCAGACACTGAGTGTGTGTGTGTGTGTGTGTGTGTGTGTGTGTGTGTGTGTGTGTGTGGTGACTGAAGCTAGAATCTACTAAGAACTGATGCACCATATCTAAAAACCCCAGTAAGTCATTTAGGAGATCACCATATGCATAAACATAGAACATTTGTATTCTGAGTATTGATCTCTCTTGACAATATAAGGGTGATAATAAGAAAACACTCAACATCAGTTTTGGTAACCAGGTCTTTATGCATCAGATTTCCATCACTTGTAAGATGGAGATGATGGATGGAAAATATTTTTCTTTACAATTTAAGTGACATTTTTAATCATTATCTTTCAAAGCTCAGGATCTTTAATCATTATCTTAGGATGAGAATTGCATTAGGTTAAATACTGATGATAAATGTAATGAATTTTTCCATTTTTTTAGTACAAAATTCATCTAACTTGTCCCTAACTAAGCTGATTATATTTTTATTTTTACAACTTAGTAAAACTAGTTTCATAGGCTAATAGCTCAACATAAATATTCTAGTTACAATTCTAAATGTAACTCATCTTTGTTGGGATTGTTGACTAAACGGATTCTATAGGAATCTAACATTGATTAAACCGAATTCGGTAAGTTCAGGAAAAAAGCAAAGTCAAGCAATTATTTCACTTACTGTTTAGGCAATATTGCTCTCCCAATCCACGCATTTCAATTGTAACTGCATCTTAGTCACTTGGAGAATTCAGTTTAAATGCTGATTTAATTTTCCTGGAATATTATCCCACTCTCAATAGTTTTCTATTCACAGGTAATTCTAATATGCAGGCCAGTATGAACCAAAACATAACAATATTCTGGAGAGGGCAACCTCTGTCTACATAGATACTCTGATTCCAGAACTCTAGGATGGGTCCAGGTTTCTACCTTTCAGTTAGGAGGCCATTCTGAGATAGGTGGTCTATAGGGCAAATGAGAATCATAGTCCTAAATTCAAAACCAAGCTCCGTGTTTTTCCAATCTCTACTTATTTTAAGTCATCTAAAGTACATATCCACAGTCCCAGAGGGGTTAAAACGGCAGGTCAGAAAGGAGTGTGAAATATGAGGGCAGGCTGACAAGTGTGAGCTTGAGCACTCTCATAACTGCCGTATAATGTAATGAAGAACAGAAAGAAGGGCACACCCATGATCAAGACCCTGCTCCTCAAGGTCCACCTGTGCAAGCTCTACCCACGAGGACTGTGGTTCAGTAACATGTCCTAGAATCTGCACCATAACTGCCTTCTCCTTGGGAACGAAGGGCAGGACTGGAGAGAAGGCTTATGCCTTGGTGTGGCATGGAGAAGGGCCAGGTAGGAGGTAAAGGGTCAGCATATGCACAGCATCTAATACACTTGTGCTGCACGCAACAGCGTGGTCACGGTGAGATCCAGCACTTGCTGCGTAACGTCTCCTTAAAGCAGGGGCCGCTGCCACCGCCGCCCACCACCGCGAGTGAGGCTGGGCTGAGCCTCCCGGGGCGCAGCCCCCAGCGCGGCGCCCAGCCAACGCTGCCTGACGCGGACCCGCCTGTGTGCTGCCCCCGCACCGCGGCGTTGGCCGAGGCCATGGAGGCCTTCAGGGTCCCTTGCGCGACCCCCTCATCTGCCCGCCTACCCACCCGGCATCTGGAGGAGGCCGGCCCGGCTAACGCAAGGCCTCGGCCTTACCCGAAGTCCCTGGCCCGCCTCAACCCCTGCACTGCCCCCGAAGCTACTCTGGCAGCCGCTGCTAAAACCAAGGGGCTAGGCGTCCGGAGCGAGCCCGTGACAAGGGACGCTGGGCGCCCCTGTCCAGAAAGTTCTTGGACCCCAAGACGGCCACGCGAAGCCCAGCCGAGTCCGCCGAAGCCGGCCAAGGGGACCGGCGGCCCTGCCCGCTCCGCGTCTACCTCGCTTGGCCGGGCCTACCTGCGGGGTGGGAGCAGCGCCCTCCTAGTGGACCAGGAGCTCCTCCGGCTGCGCCCCAGGCGGCGTCCTCAGCGGCCCAGACCCGCGCAAGGAAGGGGGCGGGCGCGGACGCCCTGGACGCTCTGCGGGCGGGGCCGCAGCCGTGCGTCCGTGACCTCCACACGGCCCTCTTGGATTTTAACGTTACAGCACAAGTCATGAGAAAGCCATGGCTACAAGGACGTTATTACCGTTATGAAATCCGAGATTAAATGAACAAAAATATGGCAAGAGGAGGGGAGCAAAATGAGGAAGCGGAAAAGGCACAGCGTGGAACCCTGGAGAAGTCTAAGGCCCCAGAAACCTACTCCATTATAATATTGTATGTGTTTGGGATGTTTCTTCTCAGATGAGAGAAAGCGCACCAACAATGACTAACAACATTATGGTACTGATTTCAGAGTTGTTTACTGACATTAATTCCAAGGGCAGCTCTGAACCACCTCACAATTTCCGTACACAGTTTTTGGTTTCCGTAGCATGTCAAGTCCAAACCTAATGTCCAAACAAGGTCAAAGATTGTGAGCTAGTTAGAACAAAACAAATCTTTAAAGTCTTATGTTATCTCTCTAAGTACAGATAAATTCTCAGAAACTTTAAAGCCCATGTGATCACTTTTTTCCTCTAGGACTTTAAAAACGTGGGTATTGTATCTAGTCGTCTCTGCTGTCTCCAATGTGTCTACCATATTATAACTGTACTTTCTGTCAGTAATGAACTGAAAGAAATTCATCATATCCTTCCTAGTGGAGTCTGACTAAAGATAACCAATCTGGAGATAATGGTCCCAAGAGCCACTTCAAAGTCAAGTGACCAAGAAAAATAACAGATCAAACCCAGGGCACATAATTAAAAATTCAGGTAGGAGTAACAGAGATTAAATTTTGAAGCTTGGGGTGGTAGAAAGATAAACTGAGACTGCATACATTTGTGGAATGAAAGGTCAGGAGACTTAAGAATAGTTCTCTAGATTCGGCCACTCGTTTGAGTGTGAAACTTACTTTTAAAGATCCTTTAAATTAATTGTGTCTAAATGAGTCAGTGTGGCTCTAAAAGACAGAGACAGATAAGCTCTAATTTGGTTCTGAGAACTACATGAAATTCTCAGGGAATGTATTGAAAGAAGTCTAGGAAAAAGATAACAAAAGTGTGTAACAAACCACTTTGCCAAATAATATGACTGATGTGACATTAATGCCACCTGGATGGGATGAAGGGAAATTTGTTTTTAAAGTTAGATTTTTCTCTGGGCATAGAGCAAACACTTGTGAGAGGGCTCAGGAGGGTCATCATCTTTCAGGACCCACAGAGACAGTGACAGTAATAGCTTCCACCATGATGATGGTGTTCTTTATGCATGACACTCACCAAAGTGGAGATTCCATAACCCTCAAATGATGGTTATAAAGAGCCACAAAGAGGCTAAAGACAGTGGCAGGACAACCAGAAAACCCTGCCCAAGGAAGGTGGATCAGTCAAGAAGCAGGCAAAAGGCTCAAGAGGCTTTCACTTCAAAGTTGTTCTTTCTGATACAACCAGCATTTTTAAGCTTAAGTAAATCACTTTAATTTAGAAGAGATATTGTGGGACAGAAATAAACCTAAATGATAGCCTTGGCATCCTTACTTAAAGTTATGTAATGAGCCCAATGCAATGTTCTTCACTGAAGATAAAGGGGATAAAAAGCTTCCAAACAAAATGCAAATGAAATTGAAGATATAAATTTCATAGAAAGACCTTGAAAATTACTAAGGAAATATTGTGTTAGACTCTGTGCTAGGTGCTGATATCAGAAAGATTAAGACATGAGTCAGTAGGAGCATTGTAATCAAGCCTGTGGCTCTCACCTGTGTTAGAATCCTGGCATGAGCATTTACACATTGTGGACTCAACCATTCTGAGACTCATTTGGAAAATGGGAAAATGAGCGACCCTTCTCCATAAGGTAGTGATATTAAATGGAATAATACATACACAGCAGTTTAACACATAAGTATTCACTTACATTTATTATTATTATTATTATACCAGTTCTGAAGGAGCTCACAGTCTCATGGTAAGAGAGAATCATCATCTGTAACTCAGATTGCAGCTTTCAAAATTTACTTATTTAATGCCTACAACTTGGAAAATGCTGTTCAAGGCACTGGTGATTCAGCTGAGAAAGAGATAAAGTTCTGCCTTCATGGGCCAGGTCAGTTTGTGTGTCCTTCAGGAAGCAGATACTGAGACCCATTAGGAATGAAAGAGGTTAATGGGCAGGGCGGAAGGATGGCAGGAGTGTGGTGTACAACCTATGAAAGATAAAGAGGGAGAAAGCAGAATTGGGCTGCTGAAAAGAAAGATTTCAGACTGTGACACAGATACAACATCTGTGTAAGGAAAGAGGTGAGGAAGCAGACCTGGGTGGAGAAAAACTGTGATGCAGATATAACATTGTCTCAGCCAATAAAATGTGGAGCTAACAGGCAAAGGAGACTGCCACTAACTGCGTGCATTCTTCAGAGCTGAGCAAGCTTTTTCTAGAAGGGAGATTTGAGCAGCGCACCTCCATAGATGCCACAGTTCATTCTTTGTGCAACATGCATTCACCTCTCCATACACGTGTTGAGTAGCCCCTCCTCCAGGTTACCGGTTGGTCTCTTAGGCAGAAATTTGGAAGAGAGACATTAATAGAACCAACAATAGCTATGTCACTGCAGTTCTTGTGGGTGCAACTGCAACTCCTTGTTTTCCTTTCCTGCTCTCCACTCGAAATTCCTCCCACCCGCAGCTATCATCTCTTCTGTTCTTGGAGGTTTGTCTAATGATGTAACTCAAGCCCTCTTTCCAGTATCCATATCCTCCTATTAGACACTCATATTAGACCAAGGAGTGTCAGGAAACAGCAAAGCGAACCCCCTGAGTTCCCCGCATTTTTCTGTGCTCATCAGAGCATGGAGCATGGTGACCCCTCTTCCGATCTGCTGGTCCCTGAGGGATCCAAAGGGTCCACATGACACCAAAGCAGCTTGCAATTCAGCAAGACCTTCACAGTGTTTGAAGCTCAAACTCTACATACTGAGTCCTGAATTTGATTTCCAGCTTTTTCTGCTGTCCCACTGATGGAGATAAAAACTTCTTGACTTTCCACTTCATTTAAAATCATTTGTAAACTGCTTAAAATTTTGAATTATTATTTCTTCAGTATGACATCATTAAAACTTAATAATAGCCAGTGAATTGCATTGTCCTTAAATGTATTGCATTCTCCATACTGTTCAAAACTCTGAATCATTACACCACCCAGGATAATCCCTTCCACCAGAAACCCTCCCTAGTCACTACCAGAGTAAGTTTTGGCAAATGGACCACCACTTTGTACCAGGAACTATCTGTATGCCAGATACTGCCCAGCATGGCAAATGATCCACTCTCCAAGTTCCAATCAAATCTACCAATTGTTCAGAACACTTCTAGTAGCAACTTTGTCAGTTAAAATCCTCCAGAAAGGAGATACTGAGATAGAGTTAGAAGTCCAAGAAGGTGGGACTTTTTTTATTGTTGTTTCTGGGTTTGCTGGGAGGAAGTGGTGGTAGCACGTGTGAAAGGGGGGAAACAAAATTGACCTGGGAAAAGCTTAAGCCCATAATACTGATCTGACATCTGTGAAAAAACCAGGAGGAATGAGGACCGCACAGGGAGAATCTCAAACTATGATGCAGAGCTGGGTAAAAAGCTCAACAAATACAATAAAGAATTCTGTGACAAATAATATCTGTTAAGAAGTCCTACATTAGGCAAAAATCGGCACGCCCTAGTATTCTTTTTTCACTGAGGAGGCCAGAAAGAGTATGGCCTGAGCTTGGATGGTGCACTGGATCCCTAAGGCACTGCAGTTGGAGCATGTTGCCTAATTGCAATCCTTGCAGTTGAAAGAGCAATGAAGCAGTGCATTTCCATGGTTACCACTTGGTTCATATTCTAATGGGGAAACTTAATGTAAACAAGAAGTAAATATATATGTGTCAGATACTTTGTGTGCTATTGAGAAATAAAGCAAAGTAAGAGGGCTAGGGACTGCAAGACAGGGTTTGGGGAAGTCCAGTTTATATAGGGTGCTTCTCTAATAATCTGGCATCATCCAGGGACCTGAAGGCAGAGATGAAGTGAGCTCTATGAATATCTAAGAGTGCTGCAGTTAGAAGCAAAAAAAAAATGCAACGGCACCGAGGCACGTAATGTGCCTGCATGTCCGAGAAGCGACAAAGAGACCAACACAGATAAGACAGAGTGAAGGGGGAGGAAACTAAGAGATGAGTTCTCATAGGTATTAGGTACCCTGTAAAATAGTGACTTTCAAGACACAGTTATGACTTTTCTCCTGAAAGAGATAGAATCTTAGTGTCTCCACTTGGCTTTCTAATAATTACACAAACGTGAAGACATTCAAAGGTGATCTCCTGATCCTTGCCCTCCCCAAGACCTGCCCTTCCTGGGGTCTTTATCATTTTGGTTGACCACAATGCTTCTTTCCAATTGCTCGAGGCAAAACCTTGGGATCACCTTGACTCCTTTCTTTCTTTCACACTCCACATACAATCCATTATCAAATCTTGTTGAATTTTCTTCAGATTATATCCTGAATATAACCTCTGTACATCATAGCAATGGCCACAAACCTGGGAACTGTAAGAGCCTCTGGTCAGGTCTCCTTATCTCCTTCTTGCTCCCCGTAAAACTTTGTCTCAACACATAAGCCAAAAGGTTTCTTTTAAACAGTAAGCAAATCTTCAAAAGGCTCTAGTGAATCTCCATTTTACTTAAAGTAAAAGCCATGGTCCTTCAATGGTTGAAAATGCCCTACATGATACAACCCTGCCCGTACTACCACACTGACTTCATCTCCTAGCGTTCTTCCTTCCCTCAGTTCTCTCTGCTTAGTGTCCTCTCTGATGTTCCTCCACTACCCTGAACATCCTTCCACCTTATTTTCCCTGAAATGTCAGTTCTCTCTTCCTAGAATACTATCACTTGATATGAACTTAACTACTGCTCTACT